GTCTATCGGCTTCAGTGATGTCCTGATTAGAGATCTGTTCGCAATTCTCTTTGTTCGCGTTGTCTAACGAAACGGTCTGCATATCAGTCGTCAGTTCTTCGCTTTGAGTCAATGATATTAACTTTAAAAGCATTTCTCGTATGAATTGTTCGCTAAGAGAGTCGGGATGTTCTGCCAATTGGAAGATCACTTTAATTATATTGTCGGACATCATATCGTAGTAGTTGTCCGACAAGTTGTCCAAACCGTTGAGCAAAATTGTCCGCAAATGAGTGAACAATTCGTGATCTTTGGGCAAACGGTAGAACTGTTCGCAGGTATCAGTCTTTGGCAAACGATATGCTTTTCCCAAAGCAATGCACGTCTCGCTGACAAGTCGTGAATCTTTGCGTCCCCTTTCGCCCAATCCTTCGGTAATGATTGCGTTCAGGTTTTCCTTCGAACGGATCAGTTCTGGATTAGATGTCGACAGCATTCCTATCAATTGAATGGCAACTCTGCTCTCTTCGGATGTGGTATTCGTTAATTTCATGGAAAACCGCTCCCAAAGCACCTGAATGTGGATCTGTTGGATCTCATTCGAGTCCATCAACTCTTTCAATAGTTGTTCAATTGAAATGAGTTCACCTAAAGTGGCGCCCATTACTAACTCCGACAAACTCTTGACCACTGAAAACGCCTTATGCTTTTCGGACATTTCCGAAAGTCTGGCATCGCTTTCAAAGTCTAAATAAATGCGTTTATACGCAGAAACGGCTGAATCTTTGATAGACTTCTCCTGAGACCAGACCAACAAAATTAATTTTCTGACACCAAATATGGCGTCCTTCACACCAAACTTATAGGCGGACACAAAGAACTCAATGGCCTCTTGAATGTCCGTTATATTACGGGACAACAATAGGTCCGAAACCAACGGAATAGCGATCTGTATTTGTTCAGTGAATTTAATACAATCACTCAAATACTTGACGAGAATCTGTTGTCGACTAATATCGTTGACTATAGATTCGGCCGAACCATCGGTTCTGTCGATCGAAAGTCTGGCCACTTGTATGGTTGTGGTCGGGGCTCTGCTCTGAGACTCTATGTTCTCCTCCGTCTGTTGACTCGACCGAATCAAAACCGTCGCTATCTTTTCGATGTCTCTCTCCACAGCTTTTGAGCCCAAATCAAGTATAGATTTCTCAGCATTTGTTACATTCGCTGTTATTGTATATAAAATAAAGATTAATAACATATACTTAACAAATAACCAGCAAATCATTAATACCGAGAAATATTCTTTTAGCCAAAGCGATAGTCTCTGGGAGTGGAGGTCTTTGTGGGCCATCACTGAATCAATTATAATCATTTTAATTTCAAAATACATATTAAAAACAATATAAAACTTGCCTTTTATTCTTTGATTTATTATTAGGATTGTCTTCGCTATCCATCTCCTCGTCGGTGTTTTCATTGTCATCGCTTTCATTCATCTCCTCGTCATCTCTATGTGTAATGATTTCATTGTCTGGAAATTCTTCTCTGAGTTTCTTAAGCAAAGAGAGACCGGTTTTGAACTTCTTTTCTGTAATCAAAGCGCGAAATCTATCGAAAACGGGTTCGATATCATCGCAATCGGAAACAATGGTTTGGTTTTCAATGTCATCGCCCTCTTCATCGTAAGTCGCGTCAGAAGTCTTTAAGATTTCTGTCCAAAACTCAACGAATTCTAATTCAATTGAATTCCAAGTGTTCGTCAATTGCTGCGAATCGTTAGTGTTTTCATCACTCGTTTGGTTCTCATTTTGTTCCGATAAAAGCATTAATGCTTTAAGTTTTTCGTCTTCTTTTCGGTGATAAGTCTTAAGCAATTCGAGCGGAAGTTTAGCAGCGAATGGATTCTTAGTTAAGAATTGATTCAAGAATTGAATCGCGTATTTGCGGACAAAACAAGACTTATCACGAAGTCTTCCGATAACGGCTTCTATTAAAGTCTCGAGTCGTGGAAGTGGTATGGCTTCGGCCTGACATAGAGTGCACCACACATTCAGCGCTCGACTTCTTGTATAACTGGTGATGTCGTGGATGTGGTCTTCGAGTTTATCTAACAATTGGTCTCT